AGCAGCAGGCCAGATTTGGCACATGAGCTGTCATTTGCCACTTGCTAGTCCTGGTTAAAATAAATAAAAGATAATTGCTTTCCGGTTATAATAGATGAAAGATAATTGCCTTAAGTATGTACAAACTTCTGTAAGTCTACAGAGATGAGAGTAACCTCTTCTATTTGGAACCTTAACATAAGAGGTGTCATTTGAATTTGTTTAAAGGATGAAATTTTAAATTCTTAAGGTTTTTAAACTTTTTTTTTTTACATTTACATTCATTTATGTGATACCCACAATTTTAAATTTATGTAACAAATGACATTGAACATTTTCTTACGTTTATCAAGCTGTGTGTATTTTTTTTATTGTGGTAAGAACAATTAACATGAGGCCTACCCTCTTAAGAAAATTTTAAGCACTCAATACTGTATTGTTAAATTTAGGCACAATGTTGTATTACAGATACCTAGAACTTATTCCTCTTGCATAACTGAAACTTATACCTATTGAACATTAGCTGTCTATTTGCTCCTCCCCCAGCCTTTAGCATCTACTGTTCTGCTTTGTATTTCTATGAGCATGGCTTTTATTTTATTTTTTTTCAGCTTGACTATTTTAGTTATTTTATATAAGCAGAATCGTGCAGTATTTGTCCTTCTATGCTTGGCTTGTTTCCCTTAGCTTAATGTCCTCCAGATTTATCCATGTAGTCGCATGCAAAATAATTGAAGTCAAGATCTCAAACAGGTATCTGCAGTCCCACAGTCATTAAAGCATTATTTGTAATAGCCAAGCTATGGAAGCAACTTAAATGTCTGTTGACAAATAAGTGGGTTTAAAAATGTGACATATACATACAGTGGAGTATTAATCCACCCTAAAAAAGAAGGGAATCCTACCTACCATATGAAGAATGGGATTTTAGTAGATGCGGTGGAGATCCACACTGGGGCACTTTTGAGAGTAAAAGTGCTCATTGTTAATGGTTACACCAGGGCAATGGCATAAACCCTGCCTGTTCCATAAAAATTGGGACATATGGCCCTGACCAGCGTGGCTCAGTTGGTTGAGCATCAGCCCACAGAGCAAACGGTTGCCGGTTTGATACCGAGCCAGGGCATATGCCTGAGTTGCAGGCCCCATCCCTGGTCTGGGCATGCAAGAGGCAACTGATCATTGTTTCTCTCTCACATCGATGTTTTTCCCTCTCATTCTCCCTTGTTTACCTTTTCTCTAAGGATAAATTAAATCGTAAGAAGAAAGAAATTGGAACTTATGGGTCATTCCAGAGGAAGAATCTGAAGGGGCCATGAGCCAGGGGGTCCTGAGTGTGGTCATAGGACAGTTCATGGTGTATTCAATGAATAAAAAAGTTCAAGTTGGTTGAAGTACATTGAGAAGAATAGAGGGAGATAAAGCTCGAAAGGTCGCCTGGGACTATAAGTAGGATTGAATCTGTAGGTTCTTAAACATAAAGCTAAGACATGTGAAGATTTTTCAATAGGTGGTGAGGAGACACTGCGTTTTAAACAATAAAGTGATGTCATCCCATATTCAGTTGTGTCTGTGACGTGCAGCGTGATTTGGATCAGTCGGAGACTGCACGCTGGAGCCCCGCTGAGAGACTGTGGCAAGAGTTTGAAGAGAAGAGAAGAGAATCTGGACCGAGTCCAGGCAGTATTAAGAGAAAAGAAGGGATGAATAGAACACACATCAAAGAGAAAGAGTCAAAAGAACTTGTCGATTGAATACAAAAGATAAGCTTAAAAAAGGGAAAGTCAAAGGAAGCTCCTAAGATTTTACACTGAGGTAACTGTAGGCATTCTATGTTTGCGGGTGAGAGAGAGGAGGGGAAGGGAAATGTGCAAATGCATATATAATTGTGCTCCTATTCTTACTGTAATTTGGAAAAATAAATATATAAGGTAGTAGTGGTAGTTTTGTAGTTTAACTTTGAAAATACTTTTATGCCAGGGTAGTTCAATCTGAATAAAGTTTTTAACAGAGAGTGAGCAGCTTATTTTGAAAAAATTAGACTTTGATTTGGAGGGAGAGGGAGAGGTTTGGGGGCATATTTCTCTATAACTGATTTCTGTCTTCTTTCTGGGACCCAGGGGGCAGCAACCCATTTTTAGCTTGGTGCAATGGTTCTTAGTGCTTGCTATGAAAGGAAAAATGAATCTACCCAAGGAGAGGCGTAACAATGACAAGCCTCTAGCTAGAATATGATTCAGAATGATTTTCAACCAGGTGCTGGGTACCACTCGGTTGCCTCAATAGCTGTCTTGAAAGACTTAAAAATTTAACCAAATTAAATTCTTGGTATTAAAAAATAACCCATTTCTACAGAACATACAGTATTGTTACAGATGCCCTGAAATCAAAGGAAATGAACAATGATAAGGTGCTACAAGTTCTAAAAACTTGAATTAAGTTTCTGCTATGTTCTTAACTCACAAAATGGTGCCTAAGCTACTTTTTATATTTTGTTCCAACATTCTGGAGGGCATATGTCTGTGAAAAGGGGGAGAAACTGATGAATTAATAGAGAAAATGGCCAGTAATTGCAATTACCTGTAAATAAACACACACAAACATGTACACACACAGACACACACCTATTTTCAAAAGGAGATTTTTTTAAATAACAAAGAGAATCTAATCCCTAGAGGAACAAAATAAGAAATGCAAATGTTTTATCTAGAAAAAAACTTTTCTGATTTTTGAGACTCTTGAAGTTTGTATTTATAATTTTACTTTGCTCAACATTCTTCTTTGTTTAAATAAAATAAAATGAACCAGTCTGGCCATGGGGTATGGTCCGCTGTTTTTCTAAAGCAGTGCACCTGAAAAGTAAAACAGACTTGAATACATTATTCTCTCTGGTCCCATAATAGACTCTCAAACATCTCAAGGTGTGAATTATTGAGAAATGCTATCCCACCGTGGTGTTACTGCTGTGGAATAGTTGTATGGGCACCCAGTAGTCCATGGTGCTGTAGAGTGTCCTTGGCACCAAAAAAAAAAAAAATAGAAAAGTAGCGTAAAACCCATATGGAACCATAACTTCAACTATGGCCCATTCGTCAGTGCCAGTATCCAGGGAGTGCGGGTTTGATTTTTTAACAGCTTCCTTTTGGGTTCTGCATCTGTCCCTGTGCTGTCTTCTGAAGTTGGCAAAGTTTCTTATATTTATCTTCCTAGTATGTATGTTTATTTCTTCCTGTGCTTAATACATAACATTACACATGTATAACATTGTAATACTATGTAAAATTAGGTCATTGTAAATATGTATTACAGTATATATTGTATATAATGTAAATATACAACTATAAACATATAGATATATAATTGGCATGTGCATCTGATCTCATCCCTTTCTCCCTCTTCCTGGTAGTTGTGATTACACACAAGGGCTTAACAACTTGAAGACTTCTAATTAAAGCTCTCCAGTGCTCTCATTCTCGCATCTTTGGTTCCTCACCTGCAGGCATTTCTTATTAGGTATTGAGCTATTTAACAACTGTTCTGACAGAACGGGAACCTGATCTTGATTAGGACGTGTCAGAACGCACATGAACCAGAAATACCATTTTCATTCCCATGCAGATTTTTGTGGTTAACAGTTGTTAACCACAAAAAGAAAAAAAAAAAAAAAAAAAAAACTAGAGCTCTGTTTTCTTCTCATTTTGTTATTATTCTTATAATTTTTAAATCCAACCCAAATTCCTGGGTTGAAACTCTGGATTTAAACACATGATAGTTTGCATGTGCATTGGCCATGAGTACCTTTCTCTATGAAAGGTGCATTTCTGATTGTGGGATAGGAGGGATGTGCGTGGAGTTTCAGCTATGGCTAATCTGAACCTTTACAAAAATTTTAATCATGTTAACATAACTACTAAATGAAAAAGGTTTGGCATTAGAGATGTAGATATTTGCCTGCCACTGTAACTACCTCTCTCTTGGACCTTAGGTAAGTCAATTCGCTACACTACCGCAAACAACCTAATGATATTTTTAGAAAATTTACAGTGAAAGCAATAAAGGTATATAACAGGACTTTATCAATGTAAGATATCACGGTGTCTGTTACTATACCATTGTTATTTATTATTATTACTACTACAGCACTAAAAAAATAGTATGTAACTTGTAACCTGCCTGTGCTAAATTATGAGAGCATATCCATTTGCCCTGCAGAGCAAGTTTTTCCTATGAAAATTCTCATGTGCAATTTTTAATCCTGTCAAATAGGTTGATTTTTTCCTTTACTAATAGATTCTTCATTAAGTTTCAAATACAGAATTGTTGTCTTGTTTCTCACTTTCAAGACATAGCTTTTATGTCCCAGACCACTTAGAAGCTGAACAAGCTATAATATTGGAAATAGGAAATACTTTAGCTGAAAACCTCTAGTATCCCTGCTGGATAATGCCAGATCACTGAATGTCTATGAGCCAAATTTTCTCTAGACCTAATTTGACGTTATCTAGCTTATAGGATAGCTGTGAAAATTACAGTTTTGAGTCATAAGAATAGTTGCAACTCTACTTCCCATAGAATGTTTATGTAGTTAGTCCTTTATTTAATAATAGTACCCTTAAATGTGTATGTTGGAAAAAAAAAGAGACAAGGTGGAATGGAAAATGCCGATTGTTTTATATACATACCATGTGTTGGGGAGGCATGAAGAGGAAAATCATAAAATCAACCAGTTTAAATTTCAGTTTCAGATAAAAAAAATCATTACTTGATGTTGGCATAATATTATCTTTAAAAACATTTTACAAATAAAAACCAAGAAGAATAAATACTAAGAATTCTTGGGGAGCTTCTTCAGTCATGAAATTATGACCCCTTCATTGCTGTAAAGTCTTTGCTTGCAGAAATACATGTGATTTACCTTTCAGAATTATTGGATATGAAATGGCATAATTGTTTTATTTTGTACAGTAAACAAGAATTCATCATGGACACCTTTTAATTCTTTATTCTTTCTTTGTTTTTAGGGGTTGTACAGATGTTCTGTGCTGCATAATTTTCATATTGTTCATTACTGGCTACATTGTTTTAGGACTTATAGGTAAGTAAATGCAGGTATAGAAGATAATTTAACATTTGCTTTTGGAATAACTAAGTCAATGTCATACTTTTGACGTTCATCATTTTCTCCCCCAAACCATCTTATTATTGCCTGTTGCCTTTTCTGAAGAGAACGTGGCTCACCAGGACTCACTGGGTAGCAGATGCAATGAAAAAGAAACACGAAGTAGTTTTTCCAAAGAAAGCCCAAATTAATTAAGTAAATACAATGATAAAGGATGAATAAAAAGTTATGGTTTCTTTTAAATCATTTTTACTTTTTAAGTCCTATTAAACAGCTAATTGTGTTGTATCAGTATGTATTAGTAAACAGCTAACTATTTACTAACAAGAACTAGGCCTAAGTCAGCTGAGGTAATATATTAACTTTTTTGTAAGAAAATTAAAAAGAAGGAGAAGTTATTAAGAATTTTACCAGAATATGAAAAAAATATACATAGATTATATGCCAGCGATATCCCATTTTATACAGGGGACCTGAGTTTCCTCATGTGAACGTCATGCAAGCAATCCCCCGTGGGTGTGGAGAGGGGGCTATGTTATGATAACAGTAATAGAGAGTCTAAAATGTAAAAAAATATATTGGTAAAGATATTTAATGTAATTTCAGTCTTCTTTCAAAGAGGACTATTTTGTGATATGATGAAATAAATCAAAAGGTCATATAGCAGAATAGAAAAGCAAGAAGGAAAATAAAAGAATTTCACCAGATAATGTACTGACAGACAAGAAGTCCTATTGTCTTTGTCTACCAGAAAGAGATATCCTGTTGTTTATTGTTAGGTTAAAGATTTTTCTAAGAAAGTGAAAATAAAGATGAAAAAATGCAGAGATTCTTTATCTGGAGTTTTAAAAAAAACTACCAAAAGGACTGTATGAATATTTTCTGTAAAAAGGTTTCGCAATTGCATATGAATTGATCACATTTTCCCCCAGACACTCTAAGTCCTTTCCTTCGGATGTTGACCTAGGAAATTTGGATATATTATTGTTAGGATGGGAGCTATAAAAGTCAGATAATAGCTTATAATGCCAATAACTAATGCCTTGACTTAATGTAGATAAAATGTATTAGCAGAAAGAAGGCTGTGCCTCCCTAGGGAACAATGGAAAATACTCTTCCCTGCTTTTTCAGTCCTATCTTCCAATAAGAGAAATTCTTTGAGAACAGCAATTGCAAGTAATTTCCAGAAGATCATCTCAGTAATACAATGCAAAAACTACTCAGAATTGGAGAATTAAAAAAGCAAGGCAGGAAGATAAGGGGGGAGAGACGACTAAAGGAACATAAATCACAAAACTAATGTACTCTAAGGCCTTTTGAAGATTCCTTTGGTATTTCTTTAAATTATTTTACTGTCTAAACATCAATGTAGTTTTAGCATAATGCACCATCCATAAATTGGATGTTATAATAAAATGAATTTTCTTATTATGCAACTAATGGAATTTGAGCTTATCTAACTTTGGGACCCATCTTTCTTGTCTATGTAATTTTTTCTTTGTTTTTACTTTTTGTCATAGAATTAAAATTTTTTGCATAAGAGAAAGATTTGGAATCAGGCAGATGCAGAGTTTCCTCAGATTATGTGGTAGACCTGGGCTAGTTTCTTAACCTCAGGTTTCTCCTCTGTGAAATATAGGAATACTACCTACTTTGCAGGGCTGTTGTGAGAAGTAAATGAAATAATATCCAGCTACACCAATAATGCTACATAATAGTACTAGACAGTACCTTTGCTACTGTGTGGTTCTGAATTTTAATAAATTGCCTTTAAATGTAATTTACTCTATTGTTCCTGTGGCAACCCGTAATTCTGGTTATTATAGTTTGAATGCATACAGGAACTTCGTAAGGATCTCATACTGTGCTCAGAATCTTTTCATTAGGAGGCTTTATGGCATAATCAAATAAGCGTCTCCTCCATATCTCAGAGTCAGGCTGCTCTAATCCACAGAGAAATTCCTTCTGTCCTTGCAGAAGCTGGGAAAGCCACTGCCACCCTCTGTCCTGTGGAGACAGGAGAGGGAAGGCCTGGGAGTGCTGCCATTATCCCCTCTCGAGCAAGATAAGAAATGCCCCTTTCTCTTTAATATTTCCAGATTCAGTTTGTAAATGCCTTAGTTCACACAAGGAAGTTAGAGGATAAGTGTTCCTCAAAGCAAAACTGTGTTCCATACGGAATTAATGTGATTCCCCCAAGTTAATCTTGAGGCCACTGATTAAAATGAGTGGCTCATCAAGTTTACTGAATATATATATATACTTACTGTCTTTACCTGAAATGCAAATAGACTCTTTGTATTTGCCTTACTAAACTCTTTCTAAGATGAATCTAACTCTTTGGCTACACCCAATGTTGGACTAAAAGAATGAAGGAAAACAATTGGGAGAGGTCACCAGGAGTATAAAGAATTTTTTAACATGAAGGAACATATTCCCGTACCTGAGGAAAGAGGATGCTAAGTCAGTTTCACTGGTGTTGTAAGTAGTTTGGCATCTTTAGCGATTTTGTTAGATCAGGACTTTTAGCCATTTTGTTAGATCAGAAAGATACAAAACATTATCTTTCATCCATATTTTACCATAAAACAGCTATGTTTGTCACAGATTCTCCTGAGGAAAAAACTGGCTTTTGCCCTTTATGTGGAATATGGCCAGCTAGCATGCAACACAGAAACTTGACGTTTGACTGATGAAAAGCAAAACCTCTATTCAAGTGGGTGAAGTGGAATATGGGTAGAAGGTAATCAAATCTCCTTGAAAGATCTAACTAACATTTATAATAATAGCCCTCTTTTGTCCTACTTCACTGATGGCTGCTATTCAGTTATTTGCTAACTAGAAAAAAAGAATAGGAGTATTTCTTATGCAAATTGTTCCTTGCTATCCCTGTGCTAACATTATGTATATAATAATAGCACAATTTTAACATTCAATAATTTTTTTCTTTTCAAATGGATTTCCAGTTGAGTGAGTTATTTTCTTATTGTATTTACTTAGGAAGCACTTGGAATTCAGGTCCCAAGATTGTTTTTGTTTTTTAATTTTTCCTTAGGAATAATTACTGCTGGTAGTTGAGACAATAGGAAGTTAATACAAAAGCAAATTAATGGAAAATAGATTAGAATTCTGTCATTATGCTATGAGAAGTCCAAGTCACATGAATACGCCATGTGTAGGGGCCTTGGTCAACAGGCTCTTCTTAGCTCCCAGGGATAGATAGTCACTATCAGCCCCATAGAGTTTCCAAATGACCGAAGCCCCAGTCAACATCTGACTGCATGAGAGATCCCAAGCTGAAGCTTCCCCAAATTTCCAACTCCCGAAATCCTGAGCAAAATAGGATTGTTGTATTAAGCCAGTAGATTGCGTTGGGAGTGGGAGTTGGTGTGCAGCAACAACAGATAAGCAGAACAAAATTTAGTGCCTGGCTTAACAAAACTTCAACATGGGCTTGGTTTTGAAACCAGGTTCAGAAACTCATTGGATTGTGAGAAGACTGTTGAGAGAGTTTAAAGGAAAGGGAGAAATATGAGATTGGAAGCAGGAGGAAAAGGCATTTTGCTACATATAGGTGAAATATTTGGCACACTGTTGCCAATGGTAATGTGGGAAATAAGAAATGTACCCAATGAATTCAGGGATCTAGCTAACAAGATCATTTTTAGGAGAGGGACCAACTATGAAGGTCCTCACCTCCACCCAGACCTGACTTAGGTGAGGTGATGAGACCAAGATGTTGAGCCTGAGCCTGATGAATTTATTGGATGAAACTCCCACGGATCTTGGGAGAGTGTCAGCATATTGTATTTTAATGTGAAGGAAATGTAAAAAAATTGTAGTCAGAGGCTGGGCTCTGGTCATTTTAACACATGGCTGCAAATTCTCTCCCATTCCTTCCATCAAGAGGTAGGGTCTGTGCCCCTTCCCCTTAAATCTGGTGAGGCTTGGGATTCCTTCTCCAAAAGAGAAATGAGCCAAAACAAAGTGGACCAGTAAAGGGCCTTGACATGCAGGTAATTTATAGATGAGTGCAAAGAATTAAAGAAAGACTGTCGTGGGCGACTAGAAATAGTATGACTAAAAGTACCAAGTACAGAAAGAAGTTTACATAATTGTCTTAAATCCTTTGTGAAATGAGATAGAATAAAGAAAATAGTCACAGTGAAATCACATGTGGTCAAACTTGACTCCACCACTTCTGGTATTAAAGTTTATGTTCATTGTTTTGGGGTAATACTACAGTCACATGTCTACTTTTCCATTTATTGCTTAATGAAACCCAGCCATTTTATTCTCTTTGCTGATGTGAGTTGCCCCAAAACACCAAGGAGAAAACAGTCTTATTTCCAGCTCTAGGCAGGGAGAGAGACCTTACAGTCTGTGGGTGCTCTGACATTTTAGTTGGTGCCATTGGTATCATTTCTTAGTTGACTGCTCACTGGGATCGTTCCACCACTGTAGTAGTTTCCACGCTAGGATCCAAGACTATAACTTTCTATGTCTTTACACTAAGCTTGGCGAGTTCTTCCCAAAGCATGACTAGTGTCAGTCGGCAGCCCCTACTCAAGCGCTGCTATTAAGCCAAGGTCCCAACCCAGTCTCTGTCTTCATGGCAACTTCCCTTTTGGGCTTTCCTATTTCATTTGCCCTACAGACCTAGTTCAGTGTCAGTCTGTTCTGTCCTAAATTGAAATCTCTGAGAGAAAAGTTAGGGTTCTTCTCCCTTACCTCTCTTACAGCAAATTGGTTTTCCCCATCCCAAGGGATGTGAGAATGGGAAAAACCATATTTTCATAACTGAGTGGTCACTCAGGTGACCTTTTAAAGAACAAAGGTAATTCTAAGATGACTTTTTGATTCTGTCTATACAGAGAAGCAGTTAACAGTTCCTCTGACTAATAAACAAATGAATATAATTCTAAAGATTAATTTATGCCTCACCAGGCATCCTGTTGTTGTAGATTGTGAGCTCG